TTTAAATATAATCGAAAATATATGAAAATACTTGGATAGAACTATTCCTCAAAACTAAAGAAAGTCAAAAAATGACATGCTTACAACAAATTAAACGTCATATGGAAGAAATTGACATTAATTTCATTCAGAAATTAGTACTTTTGATACCAAAACGCTTGCAAGCAGTTATCAATGCTAAAAGCGGTCCAACAAAATATTAGATAGATTGCGTTTGCACCAATTAACAAAACTATTTTGTTTAAACTTGTGTTCTTGTCGCTGTCAACAAACTTTTGAGCAGCACCTTTTTGCATTTTACCTAATTTTTTCATCGTTCTAGCGTTAATCGACTGCTGTTCTATTTTTATTTTAAACATTCTTTTTGTTTTCAATGAAACTAAATACTTTATACCTTAAATATCTTCTCATTCATAAAATAATGCCTAAATATTCACTTTTTTAAAATGTCAACTGACTTTTGAGCGTAACTGTATATATATTGAGTATATATATATATATATATATATATATATATATATATATATATATATATACATATATATATATATATATATATATATATATATATATATATATATATATATATATATACATAGACAAGGGCAGATTTTGGCACTTGCCAAGAAGGGGGCTAAAGAGGTTTTTTTTACATTTTTTGTACTTTTGTCTAATAATCAAGTTCATCTACGTATATTAGTCAATTTCTTTCGTCAGTATAATAGTACAATTCTGTATAATAGTAAATTTACAATAGAATTTTCCTGAAAAACGTTCCATGGGGGCTACTACTGCCACGGCATCCCCCCTAAAACCTGCCACTGTATATATATATATATATATATATATATATATATATATATATATATATATATATATATATATATAATATATATATATATATATATATATATATATGTATATATATATACATATATATATATATATATATATATATATATATATATATATATATATATATATATATATATATATATATATATATATATATATATATATATATATGTTTATGATTTTTGAAATCAGCTATGGATTATTTTTTTTAAACTATTTAAAGTTCTTTGTATTTAGCAGGTGGAACTGAAAATTAGAAAAAAACGTTCTAAGTTAATTGTGTTTTTTTTTAAAAAAAGTTTAATTTCCATCCTGGGGAATTCCATATTTTTATTAATATATAAGTCATATAAGTCTAGTAAGTTATCTTTCAAAAACAAGAGCAATTATTTAAGAATTTCATAGAAGATGATAAAATAATACTAAACCCTTGGATTGATTCAATAGTTTCATTCGTTTTGTGACTGAAAAAATGTGTAGGTTAGAATGTCTTCTTAAAGTCTTTAAAAATAAAAAAGTTAATATAGTTAAGTATCTATTTCATGGCTGTTACCATATTTTTTTATATAACTATATTATAAATGTTACTATTTTTTATGTTTTTTCACATTCATTTAGATGGTTAGTTCACCAAGATAATACCTAATTATTTAAATAGATTGTCACCTAGAAATGGTTAGGATAAAAGGTATTATGTTGAAACATTTAAAATTACAACAACAGCAGCATTGCACTGCTACATTTTTATCACCTCAAGCAGTGGCTTTATGTCGTTTGAATGAACAAGCCAACGGTTTTAAATCAATTTAGCTTTAATACAAAAGTTTAAATACTGTATGAGTTCAATACTTTCTACGCAAATGCAAGAAAAAAAAAACAAGTAAAATTAAGTTAATTTTTTGACAAAAATAATTTTTGATCAATGATAACTTTAAGTCATTTTATCAAAAACTTTTGAAGTTTTTATAAGTTTTTATTATTTTTGGAAATTAATTTTTTTTTTAAATAGTCTTAAAAAAAGTCTTTTGACTAATTTTTACATTGACCCCTTTATTTTTGACTTTGACCCCCTTATTTTTGACTTTGGAGCATCAAAGTACGTTCTGAAAATGATAACACTAAAACCATTATGCATTTTTATTGCTCGAAAGTAAACAAGTTTATATCACAATAAATAATTTTTATTGCTCGAAAGTTAATATCACAATAAGCTCGAAAGTTAGTATCACAATAAGCTCGAAAGTTAATATCACAATAAGCTCGAAAGTTAATATCACAATAAACTCGAAAGTTAATATCACAATAAACTCGAAAGTTAATATCACAATAAGCTCGAAAGTTAATATCACAATAAGCTCGAAAGTTAATATCACAATAAGCTCGAAAGTTAATATCACAATAAGCTCGAAAGTTAATATCACAGTAAGCTCGAAAGTTAATATCACAATAAGCTCGAAAGTTAATATCACAATAAGCTTGAAAGTTCACAAGTTAAAGTTAAATCTCTTTAATTTCAAATAATTCTCTTTAACTTCAATAATTTTTTTTGTAGAAAAACAAACAATAATAAAAGAACAAAAGTAGATTGTCTTTGTGGACCATCTGGTGGTCCATAAGGATTAGAAAACCACAATTTACATAAAAAAGTATCGTTATATGTGTGTGTGTGTGTGTGTGTGTGTGTGTGTGTGTGTGTGTGTGTGTGTGTGGGTGGGTGTGTGTGTGTGTGTGTGTACTAGCTCATAATGGCTTTATATATATAAAAGGCGTTACTAGTTAAATAACACATTTAAAACAATCAGTTGTAAATTATGAACAACTTTTTTTTGGAGAATAAGTCTTGCTGAAATGTTTTTTTTTTTTAGTTTTAATATGAAAAACCTATTTTTAATGCATTAAGTATAAATAATGTATATCTTCAATAATAAAATCTTAAATTACAACACAAAATTGAATTCTGTCTGAATAATATTTAAATGTTCAAATTTACTAGTTTATGTCAGAAGTTAACGAAAACTATTTTAAATGTTTAGAATAGCAGACTACACTCACTGCAAGCGTTTCTTGCACCACTGATTTTTTTTATCAGAGATTTCTATGAAGGTCAAACTAATCTCCTTAACATAGTTTTAAAAACGGCATGGGTATTTAAAAGACGCCTTGCACTTAGAAGCGCTTAAGCAAAATGTTGAATTTTTTCTTTGTTTTTATATTTATATTATAAACCTTATTAATGGAACTATAATGACATTTCTAAATTAAGTTTTTGAATATCACAGCATGTCATTTTTTCATATTTTTGTTTGTTTTAATTCCTCGTCCTTATTTTGTTAAAATTAAAACTAGCTGCTCAAACAACTAGAGATTAAAGAAGTTTAAAAAAACTTTAGTTTAAAACTTTTTTTTAAATTTTTGTTTTAGATGCCCCAAAAAGACCTAGCGGTCTTGTTACAAAGCGCCCCGGAGGAGCATTTAACTAGGAATTTCACGCTTCCTTTCTACACCGATAGCACAAAATATGCCTAGAGCTCGTTTCGAACTCTGGATCTCTTGCTTCTAAAGTAAGCACTCTAACCACAAATTATAATTAATAAGTTATAATTATTTAAATTAAATGTCATTGATTAATAATTTAAATTTCGTAACCCCTAACAATAAATAGAAGTAGAACAGAGTAAAAAACAAACGTAGGAGCTCGCAAAACACTGTGATAGAAATTGAAGATTGCTTATTTAGTAATTTTTCAATTTGTTATGAATTAATGTATGCCCATAAAATCATAAGCGTACAAGCTGCTTACAAAAACTAGAGTTTTTATAATGAAATGAAAATTATCTTTATCCGTTTGACTACATGTTGTTCCTTCAAAAATCGCAGAAAAAAATGTATTTTTTTATTATTGCAATTTAGTGTTCATAGCATAGTTTTTCAAAGAATAACTGGCAAATAAAACTGTTAAAACAATTCATTTTAAAGAACTCATTTCAAAACAGTTATTTACGAATTAAGTCATTTTGTAGCATTTAAGTTTAAAAAATGCTAAGAAATTTTAATTAAATTTACATCTGGTATTTACTGTACCAAATTTAAATTTGGTACAGTAAGTAACTGAAATAAAATGTTTTTTAATGGTATCAAAATTGAAATTTTAGTTCAATATTTTGCTTTTTTTCAGATTTTAGAAATCTTAATTTCAAAAGAATCTGCAAAAGATTCTTTTCGATTATTTGATTGCTTTTTGTTTTTTTAATTTAGATTGAGGTTCGATGCTGGCTCCGGCCAAATAAGCGACACTTATAAAGAAGGAAGCGTGAATTTTTTGGCTAAATCCGCGGTGCCCGGTTATGGGGTTAAAAGCACCTTAACAAATAATAAAAGTTACATATACTTAAAATGGAAATTAAACATGTAATGTCAATGGAAATTAGATTAGTTTAAAAATTTTTAAATACTCACAAAAAGTTAATATAAAAAACTAAAATATTTCCACAAAAAGTTAGTATAAAATTTAAAAATATTTTAAAGTTTAAGTTAAAATATTTTTAGGTGTTTTGCAGTATAATTAACCGCATATATTTTAATGCATAAATGTTTCTATGCCAGTTATTTCAAAAATTTCGTAAAAAAGTAATATTATTGTAAAACAAAGTTTGTCAGAGTTTAAACTTTAATAAAAATGATTTGGTCTTGATAGGGTCCTATGATAACCAGCTTATTAAAAACTGTACTTTTGGGTCATTAGTGAGTAATCTAACCTATGTGTTTTTACTCAACATAAATAGGTTGAGTTATTATTTGACCACTGTTTATATTTAAGTAAATGAACCCATTTTAAGCAATTAGAATAATGAGTAGAACTGTGATCAATTTTTCCATTTAAATAGTCATTTATTCGTATGTATAGCTTCTCAGAACCATGTTACGTAGTCAAAATATTGAGTATAAGTAAATAGTATTTAGAATAATGAGTAAGACCTATTTATTTTTAGGGGTTTGGAAACTGGCCATAACTTTATAACATTACTAAATCGGTACAACAAATTGCTTTTTATTTGGGCAGACTGTTTTTGCAATTTTTTTTTATTTTAAGCTATTTTTGTTTAACTTACATACTACTAACAGTTATTATTATTATTTTTTTTCAGCAATGATCAGATACGTTATTTACCATGTGGTAATTATCTTTCCTATCATTGTTTACACAAATTGCTCTATGATTAATGTTTATTTGGGAAACCCTTTTCAACGTACACTGAATAATCTAAAACAAAAAAACCAAATTAGTGTGGATTTACTGACAGAAAATAAAACTAAACTACCCGAAAACTCTTGGGTTAAATTTCATTGGACAAGTAATGAAATATATGGTCTTCCTTTAGAGGCAAATCTTGGCTTATCAACATTTTTAATCAAAAAGAAAAAAAATGGAGGAGAATTGTTTCAGCACCTACACATAGTCGTTAACGAACGAAAGCAAGCTTTTTCTCACAAAGTAACAGTTTGTACGTCATCATCTTTTGAAAATTTTTTGAACAATTTAGACAATCGTTATACATTAATTAAAGAATTAGCATTGTATTTGTTAAACACCGATGTAAAAAATATTCAAGTACACGATTTTACAAAAAGTTGTTTACGGTTTTCTTTTTTGCACGTTGAAAATGAGAAAAGTTGTGATAAAGAAAAAGTAAATGAACTATCAAATAAACTTAAACCGGAGTTTGTATCTGAGCTGAAGGCAAAATTTTTGCATTTCTTTATATCTGATGCAAACATAACTTTGGTAGGAGAATGTCTAAGCAAATCTCCTTTGAAATGGTTAAAGTCAGCCACACCTTTTCTTTTGCTGAGCGCAATAATATTTATCCCTGTTGGTATATCATGCTACGTTTGTAGGGCAGTTCGATCACGAAAAAATGCCTTACGCATAATGGCAGATAAAAAATTGAGAGAAGAACAAGCGGCTATAGCTGAAGAAATTAAAAGATTCACACAATTTTGTCAATTACATGAAGAAAATATAGAAAATGAAGAGACATTCACACCAAAATGGAATTGTTCAGTTAAAAATAATAAAAAAAATTTTATTGAAAACATTTTAAAACCAAATAGTCCAAAAAAAGAATTTATTCAGAGTTCTCACATTTTGTCGAATCCTATTATAAAAAAACAAACTAAGTTTTTAAACCCCATATCTAGTTACTTTCGCATTTCCACTCCAGCTATAAAAAAAAGAGAGCAAGACTTGAAGGCGAAGAATTTGAAAGACAAAAATTTAAAAAGACAAGCATCCATACGCAGCAATATGAATGACATGCATTTGAATTTAATAAACTCGTCTCAGAATTTAAGTTTACAGCTACCCAATAGAAACTCAAGAGCAAGTTTACATGAAACAAACTACTTGCTTAAAGTCGAAGATGAAAAGTATAAAAAGTCAGTTTCGTTTAATGAGTTATCTAATTTGACTCAAAAAGAATTGAAAAGTACAAGTTCGTTAAGTACATACCGAAAAACGTCTCAAAATTGCGATGCTATGGGCTCTACGCTTTCTTGTGTTAGTATGGATAATGTTGATTATAAACGTGATAAGTGTGTTGGAACTTCACCCGAAGAATCTGTAAACAGAAGAAAGTCCATTCTAACAAATACAATGGGTAACTTTCTTTCCGCCTCCAAAAGTGTGCTCTGTAGTCCAGTACAAACCGACAACACTTCTTTATTTTTCTCTAGTACCCACTTACCTTCATCAAGTACAATTTCAACTCAAATGTGTAACAGCCCAAATTTTTTAAGTATCGACGAAAAACAATTTCATGAAAAAGATTTTTATTTAAAAAATACAAAGCTAAAGCAAAATAATGCCTATTTAAGGCATGATGCTAGTTACCTAATAAGCGATCCTGGTTGTTTAGTAAAAGCTCCAGTTTTGAATAAAAAACAACATTTTGTAAATTTTATGAAAGTTTTAGCTACTAACATGTCATTTATTGGTAAAAAACAAATTTCTCAAACAATAAGAAAAGCTTTAGTACCTAAAGCTACACTTGATGCAACAACTAACACATTCATTTCCGAAAACGAACGAACATATTCAAGATCGGCAACAAATCTTTATAGCTATGTTTGTGAAACATCTGATAAAAGAAGTAACGAGTATGATAAAAGAAGCAACGAAGAAACCGTTATTAATGCTTGCTGTGGATTACCCACAAAACATTTTGATTTCCATCACGATGCCAAAAATATTTATCCTTCAAATAAATCAAACTTAACATTAAATAACTATCTTTCGGAAAGAAATTATAGAAAAATGTCATCTAGTAGCTTAAAAGAAAACGAATTCCTTGGCAGCATACATCAACAATGTTATGAAAATGACTGCGACCAAATGTGGCGCGAAAAAGTAAACAATAAACAGCAACAAAAACGATTTTCAGTCCTCTCTCAAGATTTTGTTCGTGAAAAACGAAAAAGATTTTCGCTTCAAAGCAATCAGAGGTCAACAAGCGAATCAGCATTGGCAACTAATGAGAGCAATAAAGATACTGTCAACAAAACGTACCAACCGAATTTCAGCGAAAGTTTCTTAATGAAAAATATAGAGTTTGAATATCCGCGTCATAAAACAAGTAAGTCAATATTAACACCCCCCAGTCATTTACCTCGTTTTAGTTACGATACTCTAGATGCTCAAGATAACGATTACCAATTTGGTTCACCATACTACCACTCAAGCAGTCTACACGATTCGGAAAGTTCTGAACCAAGCTATTCCTCTACATGCACTCCAGTGAGCTCGGACACTCCCTTGCCTGGTCACTATAAACAAGTTTCTCATAGAACGTTAAGTGCAAAAGATCGAAGAGATTTATTTAAAATGCAACGCCTAAAAGTTTATAGAAATACAAAAAATACAAGTCCAATTATATATGAAGATAGTATTGCTGGCGACGTAAGTTGCAACTCAAGTATTTTACCAGGTTATGGAGATAAAAATAAGTATTCGTTTCAAAAAAGTTCATGGCAAAAATATCGTCATAAGTACGAGTCAAGAAGCACAGAAAGCATTGGTACCTTAGGTAGATATTTGGATCTTGGTTCAGAGTATGAGCTAAAATCAGATGCTATACCTTTATACGAAAAAGAATACGCTCGTTCATCCAGTACTTCTTGGAATAACGAAGAGCATGAACCGTTTCAAAACTTAAAAATGTTCAAAACATGTTCAAGTTCAATTCCTGGGAAATTAGTTGTGCTTCAATCCGAAAAATATCGGCCTAAACATAAAAGTATGGTTATAACAAATGCTGAGCAAAGCGAATTTGTTTGACCAACAAATTTAGTTATTTAATTTACAGATAGTAATTTTAAATCTGTCATATTGAAACACTTAATCGGAATGATTTACTTTCCAACAGAGAGATCAACAACCCGTACAACGGAGAAATCATAACCCGTACGACGGAGAAATCACAATAACAAAAAATTACTTGACTAAAATTGTCTCAAATAACAAAAAAAAACACCATAAAGTGATATTAAAGAAATTTATTTATATAATGTTTTAATATTTAATATTAGTTTCAGTATTCTAGATGCAAAAGATGTTTTATGCTATTTTTATTCTACTATTTGCAAGTAAGACTTTTTTTTTTCAACAGAAATGCGATATTTATTTTAAAACGGAGAAAATCAATTTAGATTTGAATATTTTAAATTTCTTTACAACAACTCATATAAGTTATGGTGTTTGTTTTTAAAACATAAAAATTTTGTTGTATAAGTTTCAGTATTTAACTTAGTTTACATTAAATAAAGCTATATATTTATATTAAAACAGTTTAAAGTTGTTTAACGTTAACATAACGTTGTTTAAAATAAAATCATCACTGTATATATACTTATATATATACAGTGATGATTATACTTATTATGTACTGTAATATACTTATATATATATATATATATATATATATATATATATATATATATATATATATATATATATATATATATAAATATACTTAATATCTTACGATGTCACAAGCCTATACACACTAATGTACCTCTTTGAAAAATCATTGATATTGCTGTTAATTCAATTTTAAGCAGTAATGAATCATTACTGCGTAAAATTGAATTAACAGCAGTATCGATGATTTTAAAATTGTTTAACTAAATCGGTTTTATTAATTTTAACATTATCATTACTAATGATAATCTTAAAATTATTAAAACCGATATAATTAAACTTTTCATCTTGGTAACATTTTTATCACATTTTCAACTTGAAAAACAGGTTTTAGACCAAATAGATGATGTTGCTATGGTGTTGCTATGGGCTCCACACTAACTCCTGTTACAAACTAATATAAAAAGTATCAGTAATAAAGAAGCCATTCGATCTTTAGATGGTTGTCGAGAGGCATCTTAAATTTTATTAGTGAAGGTTCTTTTACAACAACATTAGGAAAAGATTTCCATTTATCAAATATTCTTGTAGAAAAAATGTTTGTACGCATACTTATAGAAAAAATGTTTGTACGCATACTTATCCGGGAGGAATGTTTGAATAGATGACTACAGGTAATAAATAGGTTACCGATTTCAAATAAATTTTTAATATGATTATTATTATTGTACCATTTGAAGACATTAATTAAATCTCCACGAATTAGTCTGTATTGTCATATTTAGTCATGTTATATTTATCTCAATAGTCATATTAAGCGCCAATAGTGCTTGTTCATACGGATGATTGTTTAAGCCTCTAATTCGTTTAGAAGATCTTTTTAATTGACGTTTGTCTTCCATTTGACGTTTGTCTTTGAGAAGCTACGGGGTACAGGTTGATTCAGATTATTCTAAATGGGGACGGATTAGAACTGAGAATAGTTTTTTAAATAAGTATAGATTAGGATAAGATGAAAATGATCTTTTTATAAGACCCAATATTTGTGTTGCTTTGTTGACTTGAATAATTATGTATTTTGAAAATAATAAATTTGTGTCTATGTGAACACCGTTCACAAATTGTGGACTTAATGCTAATACTTTTATTTTGATCTGAATCATATATAGTGTACATATGTTTGTTGTTGTGTCCTAAGTGTAGTACATATGTGATTTGTTGTTTTTACAAACACTTTTATTGTTGTTTAAGTGTAGTACAGAGTGTTTATCAGTTAAATTTCATTTCTCATGGAGAGGTTGAGTATTTTTGAGAGAAGTAAAGATTTTAGCATCATCAGCAAAAAGTGCTGCTTTTGACTTGATTACTTCAGGGATATCGTTGACATAAAAAATTATAAATAAAATATATTTTATTTATTCTTATCTTACCAAAAAAAAACTATTTCTACTAATCAATCTCTAAAAACTGAAAAACTACTTTACACTTACTCATGTTGGTCAGTTTAAACCTTATCCCTAAAAACTATATCCTCTAATATGAGTTTTACTTCTTTTGCTCTCTTCCTGTAGAGTTTAAATCATTTTTTGTTCACAAATTTCTATGCGCTGGATGTAATTCCTCTTAAATCTTATATAAATAAGACACAGATTTTTTTTTTTTTTTTTTTTTGTAAAAATACTAATATTCTTTTTACTAATATAATAAATGAATTTTAAAAAGTTTCTGTTTGGTTTAAACAGAATAGATTTATATATTTTATTTCGTTTTTTAGTTTGTTTTTTTATATTTAGAGGCAACTATCTCTAAATATGAAAAAAAACTAAATGGACGCTCTTCTATCCATTTTCAAAAAAAAAAAAGAAGCCCTATATCATGAAATAAAAAAAGAGAAAAAGATTACAACATTACCATCTTGGAGGAATTATTTTGATAATAACTCCACTAAAATTGCAAAATGAGTATACAAGTTGACTGTCAGTAGTCCGTTTTAAACGCTGCTGCTGTGGCTTTGCTGTCTATACGCTTTAGCCTCATACAAACAGCGCTGCCCATTTTGCTGCTGCTTTTGTCCGGTGTGCGACCTGTTGAGTTGTTGATTACAGCAGCCGTAGCGGAGTGGTTAATGCGCTTGCCTAAGAAGCTACAGATCTGTGGTTCAACGCCACATCTGAGCAAATTTTATAGCATTGGTAAGGAAAGAGGCGTGAACTTCCTTTCAAATGCTCTGTCGCGGTGCGACCATCAGAAATCTCTGTAAAGCAAAAAGTATACATCAGGAAACACAATTATATTCTTATTTTAAACATTGTCATATATCCTACGCAAATACTATATGGGGAAACACTTATAAAACAAAGTTAATTTCTCTTCACCTTCACCAGAAACACGCACCTCGCGCAATAAGTTTAAAAAATCGTTTTTATCAAATGAAACAACTTTTTTAAGAAAATGAATCTTTTAAATGTATATCAACTAAAAGTCTTTAACATTTTATGCTTCATGTTTGAATGTAAAGAAAGTTTGTCACCAAATTTATTACAAAATTTTCATTGTCTGAAACCTAAAAAGAAATCTTTGCATTAATAACATCTCAATTCCCCTTTTTACCGAAAAATCTAAGACCAAAGCAAAGGTCTTTCTCTCTAGAACAAAATTGTTTTGCCAACTTTTTATTTTTTTTTAAGTTGACTTTTGCTTCATTCAAACAGAACCTTAAAAAAATTATATTTTTAATTGAAAAAATCTTCATTTATTTTTAACCACTTTTTATATATACTATTATAGCTTTTTAAATTTTATACAATTTTATAAAAGTGTATTAATAATTTATTACAGACATTGTATTTATTTATTTATTTATCAAAAACTATTTATTTTGAAAAGGCTTCGTGATGAGATCATCATGATCTTATAAAAGTCCTGCCGTTGCTATAGCAGCGGCAGGACTTCTACAAGATCCTCAATCTTATCATGAAGACTTAATTTTTTACAATTTTTTACATTGAATGTAAAAAATGTCTAGTTATATAATTTTAAAATATATATGGTTGTTGTAACTATTTTTAAATTGCAAAATATTAAAAAAAAATTTATAAATAATAAAAGTATGTTTAGTAAATTTAAACAAGATACACACAATTTATAATGTTATGTATACAGTTAAAAACAATTTACTTATTATTTGTAGTTTACTCATAGTAAACTACAAATAATAAGTAAATTAGTAGTCACACGTCGTGAGTAACTCGGTGTAGCAGTGGCGGATTATGACTTCTTGGGGCCCGGGGCTATTTTTGAAGGCCTTTTTATAGGCCAGAGCCTAAAAATGACAAAAAAAAAAATGAAAATTTTAATTTTTTGTCATTTTTTAAATTTTTTTTTTTTTAAATTTTCAAAAATTCTAAAATTTTTGGGGGCCCCTAAATTTGCGGGGCCTGGGGCTATAGCCCCTAGCCCCCCCCCCTGATCCGGCACTGCGGTGTAGTTAAGAGATTTTTAATAATTATAGCGTCTATATAATACTTTGCTGACTACAACATATTTTAGTTAAACAATCAGGTCTGTGAGTCATAAAAAGTATTCATTTTTGAAAACACAACTTTCGAAACCTTTCGATTAAAACGTTATCGATAAAAAAAAACTTTTTTTTCGGATTTTTTCGGAACAAAAAATATACTAAATTAATTTCAAAATTTAAGTTGCATTTCGAAAAGTTAAATATATTTCGAAAAAAATAATGAGTTTCGAAAAGTTAAATTAGTTTCAAAAAAAAAAGACCATTTCGATTAGGGGTCGTCCATAAAGTACGTAGGCTTTATGGACGACCCCTATTAGTTTTTTATATCCTTATGGACGACTTTTATTAGTTTTTTATATCTGGACTTAACAATTTAAAAAAAAACACTTTTTATTATTTTTTTGATATTTTTCTTGACACCATTATGTTACTCCGTTCAACCTACATAGCTAGTTATTTAAGATAAACTGATCTATATCTGGGTGGGTCTTTATATTGGGCGATTCTGAAAAAAATCTTTAATCCAGGGATGTATTGATTGCTTTAAAAAAAAAACAATATTTAGACTTTATAATTTATAAAAGTGCAATTTGAAGTACTTATTGACTCGTTAACTGTTTTGAAAATATTTTTTTTAAAGTTGATAAATATTATAATCTGTAAACTCGATGTTTGGTATTTTCAAAGTTTTCCTGATTACATTCGAACATTTTGCTTTTGTAAATCTTTTAAATTGCTACTAATATTATGATGTAATACTGTTAAAACTGTGTATGCTTTTTTGCTTATTTTGTAAAACGTTCAATAGTTCTTTTTTTTTATGTGTATTTTTCTATATACAATTTTATGACATACTTTCTAGCCATTATCTTATATCTGGCCATGATAAGTTTTAATTCTGGCCATGCATGAAATGCATATTTTTTAAAATTATTCACTTAAACACAGACAGATATATATATATATATATATATATATATATATATATATATATATATATATATATATATATATATATATATATATATATATATATGCAATGTTCGACTGTTGGAGAGTGCATGCAGGGAATAGTCTCAAATCCAACTAACGTTTAGGATTCTGTCTTTTTCTTTAATATAAATATATTTAATATTTTACATTTTAAAATGACTAAAAAAAGTCATTTTTAAAATGTAAAATATTAAATATATTTAAAATTAGAAT